GAAAGAGAGAGTGTTGGCCAAGTCTTGCAACGACGTGCCGTTTCGTGTCAACTGGGACGGCGTGCATTTTACCGAAGCGGCAAACCGTTGGATCTTTCACCAGATAAACGGCGGGGCGTTCTCTGATCCTCCTCGTCCCCTCAAATCTGCCTGTGCCAAAACTCTACATCCATAATTTTCAGTAAGTTACTACTTCTTGCTAACGCTTCAATTCATTGAATGGTCATAAACATAATTTTGACAATCTTTAAAAATAAAATAAGGTTCGTTACTATTAAAACAGGCTATTAAATGTAGATATGGAAAGTTTGCAAGGTAAAAATGGAAGTTTAATTAATTCTTTTTTTAGAAGCAAAATTACAAGGTAAATGGAAGCTTAGGTAATTCTCTTTTTTCCTTTTTTATCTCTCAATTAACGTGAATAATATATTACTCTATTTCTATCATGAAGTCTTGGTTGGGACACGTTTCGCTACGAAAGAATTAAGAGAAATTGTCCACTCATAGGAAATATTCATGATGAACAAGAAGGATGAACAAGAAGGCATGGATAGAATCACACGTATGCTTTGGTTGTAGGATCCATCATGTACGTAATGTCTTAAGACTGCTACGGAATGTTAAAACTGTATTCACACATCAACACGAGACCTTTCAACGTGTTTTGTCTTCACTCGCATGCATATCGAAAAATATTTCTCAGTAAATCACTCATTATTAGATTGCTCTAGAGTGAAAACGTTTAACTTTGGAGTTCTCTTAGGATAGACAACCGAAAAGATATGTGCACTTTGTTGGTACGAATAGTTTAATAAATTATTTTAAGTTATTTATGATTGTACAGTCACATATCTACACAACCATTAGATCCCTACACAACCGCTCCTTGTCTGTGCCGCTTGCACCGACGATCACTCCCCACCTTCATCCGAGCTTGGAATATCACAACCCCTACCAGCTTTTGTCTTGCTCATCCTCGAACCATACCGTACTAGGAGAGTACCGTTCTTATATCATTTGTAACACTTCGAGGCCACTACTGAACGTTGAAACTGTCCTCACACACCAACACAAGACCTTTCACATATCTACACAACCATTGGATCTCTCTTATTCTGGTGCGTTCGATTCATTCATGTACCACTCTAACCTAGAGGTATTTGGGGAACCGCTCCTTGTCTGTGCCGCTTGCACCGACGATCACTCCCCACCTTCATCCGAGCTCGGAATATCACAACCCCTACCAGCTTTTGTCTTGCTCATCCTCGAACCATACCGTACTAGGAGAGTACCGTTCTTATATCATTTGTAACACTTCGAGGCCACTACTGAACGTTGAAAACTGTCCTCACACACCAACACAAGACCTTTCACCATGTTTTTTCTAACTCGCATGCATATCAAGAAACACTTTCCAGTAGATCACACATCCTTGGATTGCTTTAGTATGAGTACGCATAATTTTGGAGTTCTTTTGGGATAGACAACCGAAAATATATTTTATTGATATGAGTAGTTCAGTCAATTCTTTTAAGTTATCACTAACTGTGCACTCTCATACCTATACAGCCATTGCATCCCTCTCATTCCGGTATGTTCGATTCATTCCTGTACCATTCTGGCCTAGTGATATTCGGGGAGCCGCTTCTTGTCCATGTCATTTGCACCGGTAATCACTCCCCATCTTTATCCTAGCTTGAGAGTCATAATGTATGTCATGTTATGCATTCGACCCGATGTATAATATACATTAAGTATCACTAGTAAATACCAGTTATATCTAGGAGAGTCACACTTTAGTACTTTAGAATGACTAAAGATTTATTCTTGATGTATGGTATATCGGAAGATAAGCTCGTTATAAGTGTTTATACCGTTGTCAGTTTTCAATCCGATATAGATGACTACCGATCGTAGTTAGGCTATATTTTATGTTTAAACGGGGGCACAATGAGATGGAAGAATTTCAAGAAAATGACCATTGTAGATTCTATTATAGAGGCTGAATACATAGCATAGCTGCGATCGATTGTTGTAAGCTTCATTGCGTTATAATGTGATAAGAATGGCGCAATCTTACAAGCCAAGGAATTCAGGTCGCATCAACGATCCAAATATATACTCAAACGATTTCACCTGATAAGGAAAATCATAGAAAGAGGACTTGAATCTCATGCAATAGTTCACTTTTGGGTCTTCATACCTAAGATATCTATATATCTGACATGAAGAGTAACGTGCTTTGACTGCGTTAAATATCATCCATAGCAGGATGATTATAAAGGTATTGCTTAGGTCTATCACGAGTTATGTATAGGGAAATAGATAGTCAAGATAGGATTTGTCTCTCTCAGAATGAGAGAGATATCGTTGGACCCCTTGCGCGAGTAAGACTGTGAAAAGCTGTGTGGTCTCGTTATAGATGATTGTCATCTTTTACTTACAGTCTACCCATAAACAAGAAAGCAATTGAATCTGATATGGTGGGTGGTTCCATACTTTTTGTTAAATAAATGATATTGTGTGACAAAAAGATCATCATTTGAGTTATTATCGGCTTTGGTTAGGTCACTTCTAAATCCATCTGTCACAGGTAATCATAACGTCTTATTAGAGACCAATTATGATTTGTGAGCCGAAATTGAATTTTGGGTTTTGTTGTTGGATTAGATGAGCTTGCAGGATCACACAGAATAAGAATGAATGATTACTTGTGAAAATCAGAACGAGAGAAAGACTCAGATTTTTCTCAGGAACTTAGACTGGTCCGGATCAGATCTGGATTGGACCGAACCAGTTTTGACTCTAGTCATGATTGGGCTTGATTTTGGGCCTGGTTCGAACCAGACCAACTCTAGTCCGAACCGAACTGGACTTCAAAGTCGGATTGGTTCAAAACAATGTGTCGGGCACGCGCTGAACTTGTGCCAGACCGAATTAGATCTAGGCAAAGAACAATATCTTCAAATCCATTCAAAGTTGTCTTACCAAGATTCTTGTAAGTTGCAGGATATTGAGCCACATATACTTACATATGCGCTTTCTCATCCTTGAGTGACATCATATTATGAGCGATGAATTTGATGCATTGGTTCGAAACTAAACATGAGAGCTCGGAAAATAGAAACTCAAAATATCGTTGGATAGAAATGGGTTTCTAGCATCAAACATAATCTCGATGGAACTAAAAATTGTATTATGACAAGATTGGTTACCAAAGGATTTCATCAATGACCAGAAACTAACTTTCATGAAATATTCAATCCATTGATGAAATCTACAATCATTCATCTTGTTTTGATTCTAACAATAACACATGATTATCCCCTTTATTAGTTAGACGTGAATAATGCATTTCTACATGATCATTTACAGGAGAAAGTCTATATGTCATAACCACGAAGTTTTGTTGATCATGATCGACCAGACTTTGTATGTAACCTTCAAAAATATATTTATGTTCTCAAACAGATTCTGTGTGGAAGGGGATGGTGTCTCCGTACATTAGCTATTTGATGTTCTCTAAAGTATTTGGTAGATCTGTATTATTATTATTTTTTTTTGTATCGAAGCTACACGCACACCTATTGGTCTTCAACTCGGTGAAAATATGTCTCTAATATTTTACATCGGTTCGATATGCTTGAGGCAAAACCGGTTATGACCCCTTATGTCCTATAATACCACACGTCTCACATTTAACTCGGGTGATAATCTTGTCAATGAGATTAACCTAACAGTTTGTGATATTCCCCTTATTTATTGTTGATTGCGATAGCATCGGTGCTATGAATAAACGGCCAAATTAGTGGTGGACAAAATAACCGAAGCCGAAATAACCGAACAGAGCCTGACCGATATATACCCGAATCAAACCGAACCGATAAATAATATACCCAATTGAATATAAATATTTTAAATCTGAAATACTCGAACCCGAATTAATAGAAACCGAAATAAGCGTAAACTGAATAAACCGAATACTAATTAACGTAAACGAATATAATCATTTATCCATATATAACCAATTAACATGCAATATATTCTAAATCTAATTAGAAAAATTAGCTAATGATATTATTTTATAACCATATCATATAACAAAATGAGGTATGTGTATATTTTAATTTAATAAATTATTTATAATGTTTATACTACGAATGTTGTTTTTGTTATTTTTATAAGACAATTGATTGATTTTTTTTATCGATTAAATAATATACCCAATTGAATATAAATATTTTAAATCCGAAATACCCGAACTCGAATTAATAGAAACCGAAATAACCGTAAACCAAATAAACCGAATACTAATTAACGTAAACGAATATAATCGTTTATCCATATATAACCAATTAATATGCAATATATTCTAAATCTAATTAGAAAAATTAGCTAATGATATTATTTTATAACCATATCATATAACAAAATGAGGTATGTGTATATTTTAATTTAATAAATTATTTATAATGTTTATACTACGAATGTTGTTTTTGTTATTTTTATAAGACAATTGGTTGATTTTTTTTATCGATTAAATAATATACCCAATTGAATATAAATATTTTAAATCCGAAATACCCGAACTCGAATTAATAGAAACCGAAATAACCGTAAACCAAATAAACCGAATACTAATTAACGTAAACGAATATAATCGTTTATCCATATATAACCAATTAATATGCAATATATTCTAAATCTAATTAGAAAAATTAGCTAATGATATTATTTTATAACCATATCATATAACAAAATGAGGTATGTGTATATTTTAATTTAATAAATTATTTATAATGTTTATACTACGAATGTTGTTTTTGTTATTTTTATAAGACAATTGGTTGATTTTTTTTATCGATTTTTTATTTGGATAAATCTGAACTGAACCCGATCTTAACAGAATTCGAATCTAACCGAACTGATTAAAATAATATATCCGATTAGATATGAATATTTTAAAACCGAAATACTTTAGCCCAAATTAACTGGATCCGATTAAACCGAACCGACCCGATCGGTCACCTTTAGGCCAAATCCTATGTTTAAATCGCACATGAAACATATTACTTTGAAATATCATTTCGTTCGAGGACTGGTACAGTTGGGAATTCTTCGGATTTTACAGGTCGCCTCTCCCGGTCAACTTGTGGATTTGCTTGCCAAATCAACTACCAAGATCACCGTTTCAAGATTTATATAACAAGATTGGATTAATCAATCATGGATAATATCGTATTTATTGTATATAAAAGATTTAACCTAGATTTGCTTCCTACGTTTTGTATCTAATGCTTTGTTCTTATGAATAATACGAGGGAAAACACATTCCTTACCATTACTGTCAAGGAATATTAAGACAGACAATTGAAATGTAAATATGGAAATTTTGCAAGAAGCCAAATTGCAAGATAAAATGGAAGTTTAGGGCCATCTTTCCATCTTCCAAATTTGGGATTCCCATTTCGAAATTTTTTGCTCAATCTTATTTATATTCAATTTTTATTCAAAATATCTTTATTGTTTCTAAACTGTTTTTTGTTTTTTAGTTTTTAGCTTATTTTATTTATTCATTTCCTTTCAAATTTATTCAATTAAATTATAAATAATATAGAATCAATTTTAAAATCAATTGGATTCCATTGTTTTTATATATCCGAATTTAAATATATACGATATACATATACCTGTACATTTATAAAATAAAATAAAAAAGGCTACAGGCATATCTTTACATGTACCTAAATATATGCTATATACATGTAACTATACATTTGAAAAAAAGTTAACAATTTTTTTTAATGGAAGAAGCAAACTGATATAGTTAATTGTTAAATATGGAAGGAATTGGACAGCAATTTTCTTTCCCGATTCAATATTTCCTTGTTAGTTCCAATCCCGCGTGTACATTCTCTTCACCTAACTAATCCTCCCTTAATTATCTCAAACACATCATATACATACTAATTACTTACAAGTATATTAATTAACTAATCATTTTACCACGGCATGATTCCGTGGGCCGCGTCGCAGGAGATCACCATTTCATGCCCGTGTAGTTTTTGAGTTGTCTTGTAATTAATGAGTCCTCCCTCTCTGTTAAACCCGCGAAGAACAACATTCGAGGGCAGATCCTCCGGACCAGTTCATCGGATTTCTCGAAGACGACAACGTTGAGATTCATTGCTGCTGGTCGCCTTAACCGGGATCAGGGCATGGGAAACCGGATTGACACCATCGTCCGCTGGTTAGTTTTCGCAATGGATCCGTTCAGTTAGCCATTGTTCTCGGTTCGGTTCGGTTCGGTTATTTTTCGGTTCAGATTTGGTTCGGTTTCGGTAAAAAGTTTAGTTTTTCAAATAAATTATCGGTTATTTTTTTTTGTTTTTTCGGTTATTTTTTATTCGGTTCAGTTCGGTTCGATTTCGGTTTTTTTCGAATTTAAGGAAATAATAACCGTTCGGTTTTGATGTCGGGTACGATTATATCTTATTCAGTTCGATTCGGTTCGGTTATTCCGTTAATAACCGAAATGGCCACCCCTACTTGGATTTAAACCGCATGTACGTATTGTATGGTTCGTGTCAGAGACGATCGAATGCTTGAATACATATTTGTTGCCCGTTGTTCATTTTTTGCAGTTGGATTGGTAAAAAGTCGAACAATGGCATGAGGATCATCTTCACGACATTCTTAGGCATAGCCGTCGGATTTTTCTTGGGGAGTTCTTTCCCGACACTCTCGCTAACACAGGTGAAAACTCCTTTAGCTTCGGCGTCCTTGTCATTGCCATTGTTCCTGTCCTAAGTCTTTTGGGAAAATTTTCAGATGAAATTTCCCTCCGGGCTTCTTCCTTCGGTTGATGTTGCATACATTGAAGACGCGAGTCCGGATCCATCGAGTGAAAACCCGCATTCGAAGGTAATCGCCTTCTCAACCTTGTTACACGTTTTCATTGCTTGTACTAACTATCTATTGAAAAATAAAATAAGAAAAATAAATTAGAAGTAAAACAGGAAAGAGAGAAAAAGAGAGAGAGGACATTTTTATTGCTAAATCTCTTTTTCTTTTTATTACGCTATAATGAAAATGATTCATATATTTATAAAAAAATTAACAAACGAAATAAAAAGTAAATAGAGGTACAATGAAAATAAATTAGATATACAATATTTGACATAATAATATTATATTCATTATTATTCACATTGATATCTCAAAATCTATATTTTACTCTCATAACATATTTATTTTTTTATTTTAACATTCTCCTCAAGATTGACTTTTAAAGAATGGAAAAAGTCAATCTTAAATTAACAATGATATAAATCACCCAGACATTTTCATTGTCCATGTAAAAATTCATAAACACCAATTTTTATTTTTTAAAGAATATTAACCATTTTTAAATCATTTCGTTTGACTTTAAATTTCTATCATTTTAACTTTTTTTGTGATGACATCTTGTTTGATCTTAAAGTTTGTTAGCTTTTACTTTTTTTTTTTCCGTATCACATCGCTTGAAATTTAGATTTTTTTCTCTCTTTTAAACGATATGGATATATGGACTTCCAAAATGCAAAAGAAAGAAAAAACTAAAATTTTTAAAAAAAAAATACATATAGTTCAGATTGTAACAGATTTTAATATCATATTAAAAAATAAAATACAAAAAATAAATAAGAAAGAGAATAAGAACGAGAACACTTTTATTTATTGTTATCTATTCTTCTTGTTGTTAAATTATAATAAAAATAACTCATATATTATTAGAAAAATTAACAAACGAAATAAAAAGAAATATAGATAAATGAAAATAAGTCAGATAGACAATATTTGACATAATAATATTATATCTATTATTATTCAAAATCATATATCAAAATCTATATTTTAACCCCAATTAGGCATTCATTTTTTCTATTTTAACACTATCAAACATAGATAGTTGGGGTTGTTCTTGAATTCTTTGTCAAGATTTGGACTTTGTTGTTGGTTCTGGTTCTGGAGATCATTAAGATGCGAGTTTTGGATGGTGAAAAGGGTTCGTTAACTAACGGTGTTTGATTCTGCAGACCTGGGTTCCGTCGAATCCCCGAGGTGCGGAGATGCTTCCTCCCGATATAGTTGCTGCTGAATCCGATTTCAACTTACGCAGGCTGTGGGGATTGCCTGAGGAGGTATATACCATTTGATCAATCTGTCATCTTTGGATGAAATCTCAAAATGGATGTTCATCTATGTTCTTTAGGATTTCACAGACAAGCCGAAGTATCTAGTTGCATTTACAGTTGGTTATGACCAGAGACACAACGTCGATGCATGTGTCAAGAAGGTAAAATGTCTTCCTCTTGCTCCTTTCTCCCCCTCTCTATGCCCAAAAAGGTTAAGTATGTTGCTGCAGTTTTCAGACAACTTCACCGTTGTTCTGTTCCATTACGACGGACGACTCTCTGAATGGGAAGAATTCGAGTGGTCTAAACAAGCAATACACGTCAGTGTACGAAAGCAGACCAAATGGTAAGCAAACCACAGTTTGGTTTTTTTTTTTTTCTCTCTTCCTCATAATATGCCGGTTTCCGACCCTTTTTCCCTCATGTTTTGAAGGTGGTACGCTAAAAGATTTCTGCATCCTGACATTGTCGGGTCGTATGATTACATATTCTTGTGGGACGAAGACCTCGGGGTTGAACACTTCGACCCAGAAAAGTGAATCTTGCTTGCGTTCCCCCTATCGTTTTCTCTGCAAATTTAGCCCCAATTGTTTGAATTTGTTTTGTGTTTTTTTCATTTGCAGGTACATCGAGCTCATCAAAAAGCACGGTCTTGAGATATCGCAGCCGGCTGTCGAATCCAAGCAAAAGATAACGTGGGAGATAACAAAGAGAAAACCCGAGAGCGAAGTACACAAGTAAGGAGCAGCTTCTGAACTAAGTTTTGATCAATTAAGTTAACGAGTTATGTTCTGTAATGATATTTTCTTTCACCAGAGATTCCAAGGAGAAACCTGGTCATTGCAGCAGTCCCGTTCTTCCTCCCTGTGCCGGGTATGAATCGATTCATATTCAACAACGTTCATTCAGCTTCTGACTTCACCTTTAATGTTTCCCATATGATTGTGTAGGTTTGTAGAGATCATGGCTCCGGTATTTTCAAGATCAGCATGGCAATGTGTATGGCACATGATTCAGGTATCCGAGAGATTGTGTTATGTTTCATCATGTGTGCGTGTTTTTGTCACATAGTTTCTCTTTCTTTTCGTCACCTAAGACTCTTTACAAATTGCAGAACGACTTGGTACATGGTTGGGGTCTCGATTTCGCTTTCGGGGCATGTGTTGAGGTCTGATATCCTGTTCCCTTGGCTCAAACCGAGAAAAAACTCGATCAGTGAATGTTTTTTTATCTGTCTTCAATCTCTTATTTGCGACAAGAATGGATTTAATCTCGTCTTACTCCTGTTTGGAGACAGCCTGCGCATGAGAAGATAGGAGTTGTGGATTCTCAATGGATCATGCATCAGAATCTTCCTTCCTTAGGCAACCAGGTAACGAACACTACCCTCTACCCGAAAACAGATGTTTTGTCGGGTTTAGATACTACCGTTACGAAGTTCTTTATGTTCGGTTTCATCAGGGAGAAGCACAAGATGGGAAATCCGGGTGGCGACGGGTAAGAACTTCGTCCCTCGGATCAGTTCAGACAAATACCTTAAAACTCCAACCAGTAGATACATTTTTTTTTCTTGCGGAAAAATGCAGGTGAGGGACAGATGCCAACGGGAATGGACGATGTTCCAGAACCGGATGGCTGCAGCCAAAAGGCGGTATCTTAAATCAATGGCGACGGCTTCTTCTTCTTCTTCTCCGAACTCTACCATTCATTAGGACAAGAAAAAGGTCGAGATTATCATCCAAGAAAAGCTATTCAAGAATCGTGAATATAGAGATGCATTTATTAGCGTGTGTATACTTGTTCTAAATTCAGCAATGAAAACAATTTTTCAAAATCTTTTTGTCAGAATTTCGCAATTGAAATTCAAGTCGAAGGGTAACAAAGAAGAGAGGAGATGTACAAAAAGGTAAAGAGTCTCAGAGCAAAACTTCCCCCCGACATGGGAAAACACAGATAACTCAGAAACCAATGTTCTGTTCTAAGACAAGAGTGGAGAACTTCGAGAAGTTCATGCCTAATTGATCTGATTCAAAAATGGAAACTCAGGATCTCAGAAGAGAAACAATGGAAATTATATACAAATGGCTTCACCCTCAAATCTCTGAAAATGCCTCTGATTGAACTCTGCAGTAGCACGACAGAACCGGTAGGTATGCCTCACAAAAAATGCACAGCCATCTCAGTCTTAGGTTGTATCGGGTTGGCTCTCTGGTAGAGAGGGTTTAAGCCAGCAACAGAGCTCCATCCGAGGTTTTACATGAATGAATGAAGGAATGAGAAACACCGTTATTCTGTACCGACAGATGATCATTCACTCTCTCTTATGCAATTTCCCGGCAAGAGAAACCTGTACTTGTCCGCATTTTCCAGGAGATAAGAAGGAAGGTGGACAGCTGAGAAGGAATGAGGGATAGGTCCCATCTTCCCGATAATCTCCTTGAAGGTATACTCTTCCGGTATCATATCAAACAGATCAGCTCCTTTGCATATCACTCTTTGAACTCTCTTCGGGTTTAAGAAATGAGCAAACCTCACTCTGTCGTAATGGCTATAAGCCTTCATCTTGAATATGAACTCGCTGATGTGTCTGAAGCAAAAACTGCAATGCCATCCTGCATCTGCCAAAATTTCATCAGATTGCCTGTAATGGGCATACCGTGTTTTACCCGTCTGATACCTGTGGACGGAAGCTCTCCAGCTCTTGTTATCGACGAGAAACTCAAACGAATAAAGATAATTCTTCAGCCTCAGGTGGAGGACCTGAGGGATGTCATCACACCACCTCAAAAGGTTTATGGTGTTTCTGCTGGGAATCTCGTCAACATCTGACATTATCAACAAGTCATCATCTGTAATACCGGCTATCCTGAGGAGCTGATCTAGAGCTACCCTCTGATATGCTTCCTCGTAGAACGGGTTCAGACCTTTCTTGAATCTTCCACCAACCGTCCCATAAGTCAGGCGTGGCTCAACGAATTTGAACTCGTCCCGATGAGAGGCGAACACAAGAGGCTTTGGCAAGCCGGTGAAGGTTGAATTAGATTCCAGGAGGACAAACTGGGTGATATAAGGGTATAACTCTTTCCAACGTACTGTAAGGATGTCGAGCTCGTTGCTAAACAAGACTGCATCATAGACACGCCTAGGGTATTCTCGGATGCCCCATCCATGGAGTCTACAGAGAGACTCCATAGAAGCATTTTCGTGGTAATAGTGAGGGATATCATGGAAGGGTTTGGGTGGGGATTCCCACAATGGGCGTAGAAAGTAGGAGATCTTCTGGCCATGGATGTAACCCGCAAGCACACACATGGGAACTATCACTAACAGTAGTATATAGGTCTTTATATCCACGCCACGAAGAACACAACAAAGTCTAGAGAGACTGGAAACCCGACCAGACTCCTGCAAGACAGATTTCAACATGAAAACCATAAGAATCATCGTGAATTCATGAATGAAAGTTTCATACATTTGAAAACGAAAGTCCATGAGTAAATTTAAATACGAGGGTCACCCTAAAAGAGGATCAAACTCCAGTATAGATCCCAATTCTCCATCCATGTTCTTTCTAAGAGACGAAACAGGGCAAAAGCACAGAGATTCAGACAGTGATAACGAAGCAGATCCAAGATCATACCTGTCCGCAGGCACCGGCACAAATGTCATCTGTCTTCTTAGAACAGTAGCGTCCGCCGCTTTCTCCCATCATCCACCACATTTCTCCTGGATCGGGTTGCCCACCAAAATGCCACCAACCCTTTTTGCACCAAAACCCGCCTCTTCGACTATGGCGAAACCCTAGATGAGCCCGAATACTTCGCCTAGCTCCGGCTGATTTCCTCGACGAACGAGACCAAATCTGTACGAATCAAAGCTTGACGACAGTATAACGCCAACAAAAGGAATGAATTTTCAACGCGAAATCAACAAATTCACGCGTAAACAAAACCCTCGGTTTCTTATTTCAGAAAACAAAAATCAGGACTTTGAATCGGAAGAACAAAAAAAACAATAATGAATAAAATCTCGAATGAGTAGAGAGAGAGGAGGAAAAAGCTGTGGCCTCTCTGGAAATCGGTGGCGCTATGCGATTGAGAGAGAGAAGAGGGCAAATACAAAATTTAAAATAAATAAATAAAAAAACAGATAAAGTTACATTAATTATATAAATTCCTAAAAGTTAAATATTTATTTCCGGGTATTTGTTTATCTTCCGTTTCCGAATCTACCCTCCATCTTACGAACAACAAGCCGTTGAGAGAGGATGATTTGGTAATTTGAGCAACAGCAGAACGGTTCTCGGGGGTTTTAAAGTGGGACCTACCACGCGCGGTTGACTCGGCGCAGCTGTTTTGTCGTGTGGATAACTTCATATGTAAGATCCCGACACGTGTCATCATACCAATATCCGTCACAAATTAACAGTGGGCTTTCAAAGTTGGGCTTGTTTTCAGTACAGGCCCATGAAATATATTAAATCTCATTTTTTCCTTGATGACCACTAAATTTGTTTGTCACTTTTTTTTTTATAATTCGAAAATGATTTTGGTCCGACTACATCTTTTAGATGATCGAAAAAACTCAGGTGAATACCCTTTTTCACGTTTAGATTTGAGCTCAGAATGAGAATATCTGTTGGTGAATGAATGTCTAGGACGAAAATGAATATCTGCAACAAATATAAATAATATGATAATATTTTGACATATTCATGCATAGTGTATGATCGAATCCATTTCATTTGATCACTAAATTAGATAACAACGCTTTCATGTGATTTATTTGGTCGTCCACTACCGGCGAGACCGCGAGAGTCGGTCAACGTCTCGAGAAACCAATTTCCACGAAATTAAAGTTTTATTAATCATAGGTTTACCAAACTGTTGGCTTGTAACCATGGATAAAAGATAAAAAAATACATTAAGTTTTTTAAAAAATCATTTGAATTATTAAAAACATTTGAAGTCTTTGTATTTTGAAAGTCATAACATTAAATAATTACTGAAATATTGGAAATTTCATGTTTTGAAAGTTCCGATAAAATTCGATAAATTTAAATGCGTGTTGCAGTGTAATGATATTTTGAAAGTTAATGTACTCGTACGAAATTTTGAAATGATTGATATAGTTTTACGGGTGATATTTTTTTAATAAACAAGAGTTTTCGGACATTTTTCTGGTAATAATAAGTATAACAGAAATTAATAAGGCTTTGAAATAACTCCGAGTAATTAAGAATTTGAATAAGGCTTGGTCGCCCACAACTCAATATTGGAATAAATATATATATATATATATATATATATATATATGTTCATGATTTTAAATCGAATATAATGATTATAAGTTTGACGAAATGAATAATAATGCATGGGAATCTAACACGTGCGTTTTTTTATCTCTCCAACGATGATGGTGGTATTACACTTACACATGGTTAGTTAGGTATGTGCATATATTATGCCATGACATGAAACCACGTAATTTTTGTATCATGAGAATTTGTTTGACTGATATGTTGCATGATTAGGTTTATCAAGAGAAACGCGAGGGGCTGATAAGGGGAAAAAAAATCAATACAATAATGGGCCTAAGGCTATCCAATTGGGCCAGCCCATAAGCCCACTACCTGGACAAATGGTCCAACCAGTCTATCTGGAATTTGTTCAAATATTACATTCCAATTTAAAATGCATTAAATACCAATCAAACTCTAAAATAGTTATCAATTTTTTACATGATTCTAAACATCATTCACATATATGTATCCATATATATCTATACAAACATATATGCATACATACATAAACACATACGCATATATCCACACAAATATATAAACATATACATATGCATACCTAATATATCCAATATATACGTGCATTGCATATACACATATACATGCATATATATGTGTGTGTGTATACGTGAATATATGGCATATTGATGGTTTTTATAACACTAGTCTATTACAATTAAATTGACGAGATTAGCTAATGTGATGTCTTTCGATTTAAAGGATCTAGTGTGTGTGTGATATATATATATATATATATATCACACTTGTAATTTCTTTTTCACTTTCTTGATTCATTTTGTAACTTTGAAAGCTCTCTCCTAGATAGGCCATATAGCCATCATCAGTACGAACACAAGTTCCAATAATATAATTACATATCTCATAGGATTAATAATTAAAAAAAAAAGAAAATGATGTTTATAATTATATATCATGAGTTATATTCTGCTTTTATGAAGTCAATGGGATGCAAATGTCAACTATCTATCATCTCACCATGAGGAGTTCGACCAGTGGCGAACCCAAATAATTCTGTAATTACAACAACAATAATAACATCGTCTCAAATTCATTTGGGCATTTCTTCTCCACTCATTTTAATTTCAGATTAACTCTTTCGAAATCTACAAGACTTCCATACCGTTTCTAATGACACGCTCCCAAGTAAATCTATATCTACCTCTTCTTTTCCTTCTCACCCTTATATTTATACTCTCCATTTTTCTAATCGGCGCATCTATCCGCCTACATTGTACATGTCCAAACCATCTTAAACGCATATCCCGTACATTCTCTTTGATATCTATTATTCCTATTTTTTTCCTAATAATCTTATTTCTAATTCTATCTATTTTTTTGTGTTCGTACATCCATCTCAACATCTTCATATCGATCACATTCATTTTAGATATATATTGCCCTTTCGTCGCCCAAATTCGCTATCATACAATAATGTTGGTCTTATGGCGGTATGCTAGAATTTTTCTTTTGAACGTAGGAAAACCTTATGATCACAAAGAATTTATGTGGTTTGTCTCCATTTCATCCATCTCACTTTTACTCTGTGATTAACATCTTCGTCGCAACCCCATTCTTTAGGAACAAATAATTTGTTATTAGGAGAAAAAAAATCCAAACCTTACGATCATTTAAAAAAAATACAAATCTTATGGAGACATTTTACATTTTTTGTTAAAATTTTATGAAATTTATAAATAAATTATATATTTTTAATTACATGCCAATTCCACGCCATTGATTTGGACTAAGTATTCACAATGTGTCGAAAGTTGAAACATCTAAACAACATAGGGATGACTTAATCTAGTTTCGGTTCAGAATCGGTTGGTTATTTCGATTTTACAAAAATTATAACCCATCGACTTTTACATTAAATTCGGTTTGTTTCGGTTTAGATTCGATTAGATTATGATAAAAATACTTATTTTTTAAAAGAAATTTATTGTTTTTTCGATTATTTTTTATTCGATTTGGATTCAGTTTTTTTTTATTTTAGAGAAATCATAACCATTTAATTTAACATTTAATTTGATTCGATTAAGGTTATATATTATTTAATTCGAATCGGTTAGATAGAGTATTCGATTATTAATTAAATATATTACCAAGAGATATTTATCGAAAATGAGGAAAAAATCACACGATTCTAGGTTTTCAACCATGAATAAATTATTTGTGGCCGTCACTTTCACTTGGAAACTGTCGAAAAGATTCGGTAGAATTTTGTCCCATCACGTTATTATCTATACATATACGGTATACGGTATAGCTGTTTCGTTCTTGACATTGAAAAACGATTTTAAAGAAAATCTTTCCATACGTATAAATTCAAAGAATGCGAATAGAACATTGGACCGTCTATTAATACCGATTAGAATTGTATATTTATCAAGTCCATCAATGACCCACCACAGTACATTATTTTTTCTTCCCTTTTTTCAAATTCAGTAACACCTCCACGTTAAAACGTTCTTGCTTTTTACATAATACCTGACATGCATTTTTACGTAAAATAAAAATAGTACATCTTATTAACTATCAGTAACCAAATATAAATGATTTTTTTTTATAAAAAGCAAGACCGTTTTTAAATACAAACAAAACATGGTATAAAAATATAAATGATTTTTTTAGACAATACCTGATACGCGTTTTTATGTAAAATAATAAGTCTTCGTAACAAATTTCAATTTTGATATTGATTATAGGCATCATTTTTATTCGAATTTATAAACCTAATGAAAATAATAATATATCATTATACTCAGATTATAATATATTTATAATCTATATTTGTTATAAATACATAATTTTTAAAACTGATTTGTTCAAAATATAGTATAGAAATTATTTATAAATAACAGATCAAAATAATAAAAATAACGAATATAAATGATTTTAAAAAAATTATTTATGAAAAATTTCAAATTTAACTCGATTCATAAAAAATGATATTTTGATATAAATATCGGTTTGTTTGTCGAAATTCATAAAGATAACGAATATTATTAAAAAATATATATAAAATCTCAAATCGATAAAACACCAATATGGTGATAAATATGATGTATCTTTAATGCATTCTTGTAGGAAAGAAAACTCATCATTCCATTGCTTGTGTACGATTCGGTCGATGCATTCTTCGAGGTTTTGCTCGAGAGAAAATGAAATGGTCCAAATATATTTATTAGGATGTATAATATATGATTGAGAATTGCCTAACAACGTACCATTAATCAATTAAGTACTCTCCTATACATAAACCCTAAATCTTAGATGTAGCCTTTTTTCTTTTTCTCCTCTTTGGCCACTTGTCCTCGTCTTTTAATTACCCACACGACCTATTTTCTACGTAAATCCACGGTGCTTAATTAATTTCCCGCAAAAAAATTGTCAGAAAAAAAAATTATTCAATTAATTAGCACATGCATGATAAAAGAATATAAACACATTGACAAATACCCAAACACACAGGAAATGTTTCATGCTTAAAATATAATATATTATATACACAAGCACAAAGACGTTCCAAAAAAATAGCAATAATTATAACCCAATTTTATTTGGATTACACTTATCATTATTCCTTAAATACTTTTTTTATAAACAGTTATCAATGCCGTATATATGAGACAACTTTATGTGGATACCAATCTAGTCCACTTAACCAAATTTATCATTTTTCCTCTCGCATTCTACACTTTATTCACGATATACAAATCTATATAAAACCGATATTTTCCCTTCGTACCAACATCTTTACAAACGATATATATACCATCTTTTATCTTGTTCTTCATGAACCATAACCAAACTCTTGAGATAATTATAAGTAATAATAATATTTAAGGTATTTTTAGTAGAATTCAAAGTTTCTTGATCCAAATCCGTTTTCTCTTCTCCAAATCACTTAAACAGCTTAACGTGGAATATAAACACACTTACATTAACACTTGCATATTTTTTGTCGTCTATTGCGGTACATATACCTAAACGCCTCTTAATTAATACATACTAAAACTCTTAAACTACAAAACCATTGAGAAACTGTTATCACATACCTATACGAGATCTTTCCCCGTATTTTGTCATCATTCGTACGTATAGCGAAAAATACTTTTCACTAAGTCATTCATAATTAGATTATTCTGTAGCGAATACGTATAACTTTAAATTCTTTCGAGAATTCAACCGAAAAGATAGGTGAATATTATTTTTTATTAGTAGTTTAATAAATTCTTTTAAATTATCTCTAACATTACGAAATCATACTTGAACAATTTTCAAATCTGTTTTAGTTCGTTGTGTTCGATATATTTATATCGGCCATTCTCCATCCTCATCCTATCTCGCAATGTTACAATCACGAGATCGTAGATGTCACATAGCAACACGATGAACCATGCGGTTCATATTATGTTGGTCGCTTAGAACAAATACGTTTGATTTCAATGAAATAAGACCCTATGAGATATGATATTTAACAACGGAAAGATGTGCATTTTTTAACCCTAATATGTCTTTTCCGAAAACTCTAACCACATTTATTTACACCCCAAAATGGAGGAGACCGAAACCTCTGGCGCAACTGACATTAGTATTGGAATTATAATCATACATTAAACTTATTAATATATTTAGTATGAAATACCAACTCTCTTAGAGACGGCATTTATAACCAAAAATCGCTGCCAGAGCTTACGATGAGACCAAATCAGGGAAATCACAAACTCATAATAATAATAATAATTGATATTAATCACTACGCGTGTATTATACATGAACCCTAATTCACCTATCTCAAGCATATGAAACTTGCATATAAAAATTTAACTACGGACCTCGACTATATATGCTTAAGCCTAAGATAATAAAACACTGAATAAAGCAGATAACAACTCTGAATAATATATGATCCAACATGATCACCAACAACCCAAGATCTATAAAACCCTAGCACGAAAGCAACTTATAAACTCCGGCGAGGATCACCAAAACCTCCGAACATGGTCGTTTCCTGACAATAATCCATCTCGTTTCCGTACACAAAACCACCATTTCCGGCGAAAATTCCGGCGTCGTTGTTTTGGAAATCCCCATAGCGATCAAGCCTATCGTTCTTGATCACCGTGCCCGGGTGAGGATTTGTCTGTTGGTAAACGTCGAAGGAGACGTCGGAGAAGGCTGAGAAGTCACCGGAAGATTCTTGAAGTGTCAGTGGCGGCGGCGGCGGCGGAGGGTTCTTCTCGGAATGTTGTTTGTTCCGAGACTTTAGGAACCCTTGAACAATCTCATGCAAGAGACCTGTATCCGACGGTTCGTGCTGGAAGTACTCCGCGTTGTCTTCGTTGACCGACGTCGAAACGCATGCCGTTTTCGACTCCACCTTCGGCGGCGAAACGGCGGGGAGTTTTGAGCAGCTGGGATGGTTCAGGTTCAGGAGAGAGTAAAACGGGGTCGTTTTACGAGACGAACACGAGGCGTCAGCAGTGGGAGTGAAAACGTCGCGGAAGCGATACATGTCGGGGGAGGGAGTAATCCTCTGCGGAGCGGATGCACCGTAAAATCCGGAGATCAAGTGGGTGGACGGCGGAACGAACGGCTGAGATCTCTTTCCGGAGAAGGTGAACCTAGGTTCAGGAACAACGACAGCCGTCGGATAAGTGAAGTTGGTGCGAGCTTTTGAGCCACGTAATGTTCGAGCGGCGTAGTCGTAGGCACAGGCAGCTTCCTCCGCCGTGTCAAAGGTGCCGAGCCACCGTCGCTCCTTCGACGTCGGGTCTCGTATCTCCGCCGCGTATCGGCCCCACGGCCTCCTCCTCACTCCGCGGTACCTCATCGTCGATGTGGCGGCGGTGGCGGCGGCGGCGGAGGAGGAGGAGGAGGAGCGTCTCCGGTTGACCGCCGTCGAGGTGGACTTTCTTGGGGATGAAGTCGGGGCGGGT